AATAACTTATTAACAATCACTAACCATTAAACTAAGCTTTGCCTGAAGAATAGGCTGAGAACTTCAAGCTATGTCCATGGACATTCTAAGTAACCACAAGACACACCCCAACAGAGTTGTTTCATTGAATTTAAGGAGACACATACTTTTCCGCCAGTTGGATAAACCAGTTGTGAGTAGAACAGTGGCCTTTAAAAGTGTGTTAACTTTATGAGATTTCTAACATAGGATTTACTGTTTCACTCTTAGCTTGAATACATAAGGTCTACCTAGATTATTCCCAAGTGAAAATTTATCATTTTGAGAACATTTTGGTCCATTAAAATCAAGATGGCTTTCAGAAAATATAAACGTAATTAATAAATATATTTAAATAACTATATTCATCAGCTAGTTATGTTGTTCCCATCTTTATATGGTGTTATTGTCCCTGCACCTAATATAGTAACCTTTTCACAATTTATAAAAATGATGACAGATTATGAAGAACCAGTGATACAGACAGGAGGGTACACATTAGCCTCACTTTATAGATGAGAAAACTAAGGTGCAAAGAATGAACTCAGCAATAGCAACGATATTGAAAGAATTCCCCCTTTATTACAGTATTAGAAATCTTAATCCTCTTATAAAAATGAAACCAAAGGAATGCCTTTCACAATATTTACCTTGAACCCTGATGCAGCAATTACAAATAATATGTTAAGAACGTAAGAGCACTTTCAACTACATGTTACTCCATTTCGTTGTTATTAATCTTAGTTTCCATCTTGCAATGGAATTTCTTTTGCATACATCACAAAATAGACTGTTGATCCTGTACCTTCTGCAGACATAAAGCCATCATCCGTCTTTGTTACTGTACCACTTATTTGCAGCATGGGCAATGGCAGCATTTTAATCAGACAGGAACGTGTTCATTAAGCAGTAGCACCCCCGTTTATACCTGTATCACATGATGGTAAATGAAGGCTTGCCCTGTACCCTCCCTCTACCCCTTCACCTCCCTTCTTTTCCCGTTGTTCTACTATATGCAGTGTGTCCTTATGTGAGTGAGTTACTTGTATGTGGTTTGATATACAGTCAAGAAAATACTGTGCATGCCAACAATAAACAAAACCTTATGTTATCAATCATTATGCATTGTACAGAGCATTTTTAGGTACACAGGTAGACTATATGATATTCATGTCAGTGTTAACTTCCTCGAATACTTTCTAGTAAGGGTTACTTATTTCACACTGAATATTTGAACATTGAAAGTATGTACATGGTTTATTGGTTTGATTTTTTTGAAAAAACATTGTAGACGGGCTTGCAGGGAAAGAATTAATAAGTCTACATAATGAACTCATAATATTTTGATTCATATTCATTTTAAAAGACTCTTCTGATTAAAATGGCTAATGAAAATGATACCAAGTCTCCTCAATGAAGACAGTTTAGTGTATTTATTAGCCTAAAGTGTTCTCCCTTTCTTTCCTATCCTTTCATGAGCTTAAACACTGAGGAATGGACTTATCAGCCATGAATGGAGTTTCAGAACAATGTGCCTTGAACACTTAAACTTGCCAGGTCTGATTTGTATACTTGGAGATTTTTAGCTTTGTCACCAAATTTCATATCTTGCGGGCTAAAAGGGAAACGAGTACAGTGATTTTATGTACTTTTTTTAATGTTTATATTAGTTTTCAAAATGGTTTTGCTTCCTAACCTTACCATTATGTGAAGCCTCTCACTTTGAAAGTCACAGACTGCGGACTGGTAAGTCCATCAGCTCTCTGTCATTATGATCGTTCATAATTTTAGTTAAAGTAAACACATGATCATTGCATAGTTTTCTTTCTTAGCCCAAAGTATTTCCAGTCTGTGGAAAGTTGTTATATTTTTTTAAATACATAAGTACATCCATTCACTGGCTGCATTTTTTGTCATTTTGCTTTCTACACAAATTTAAATTCCAGAGCAGATGATCATAATATTAAATAATTTTTTTTTCACTGACACTTTGTTTTTAAAATCAACTTTCATTTGTGTGGTGCTGTTTTGTGTTTGTTTCCTTCCTTGTGTTTTTGCTTTCAAAGTAACTTGTGATCGAGATACATTTAAACTGAAACACAGGTAAACTATCTGAGCCCTTTTGGTCTTCATCCTTGCCCCACAAATATTTTTTAGTGTTTGGTGAGACAGACTAGCTTCCATGACTAGGGGATGCCCTTCTTGTCACTTTTCTTTCTTAGGTTTAGCTCTCGTAGGTTTAGCCACCAA